TTATAATTAAAAATAATTTTATATAATAAAGTTAAAAAATAATATATATTAAAACTTATAACTTATTTTTATTTTATTCTTTTTTAATTAAAAAAAAAATTCTTTTCTTTTTATATTTATTTTTTAGCTTAACTAATTAGCCTAATTATACTTCTTTAGTATATCTTTTTATTACTTAATTCTATTAGTAATTAAGATTAGTTTCTTTAAACTTAACTTCTTTATTTATATACTACTATCCCTTTCTAGCTTTCTACTATAAGTAGGTCTCTAGCTAATTATATATACTATGATCTCCACTTAAATCACAACAGTAGGGCTACGAATAAGCGAGGCTAACCAGGTTAGCGGCTTTTACCCCGGTCTATTCACATGATGGAAACCTGGTGCAGCCATGGCGGCCAACCACTGCTTGATGGTTGAAGCCGTGCTGTATATGATGACTTTTGGTCACAAAATTCGCCAAGCATAATTAACGAGTGGCAGGTTTATATGTACCTACTAATCTACATATGTAGGTCCCAAGCTATCCGCTGCCAGAGCAGCCGTGAACTGTGGCGCAGGCTAGTGCTAATGATAATACCTATAATGACAGCTGCACGCTTGCCCTACAGGCTACAGGGAGCAGATGCCTCCACAGGTAGCGGTGGGGCCTATTGACAGCACGGACAGCAGCGAGGACGGCGGGTCATAGCCCTGGTGGAAAAGGTAAAAAAAAAATTGGCTGAATTCGGTATTTGAATTGTAGTTTGACATTCCTTGTAGTTTATTGATCGTGGTTACTGCCCAGAATGAGACTGTTTACTGATGCAGTCAGTGGGGCACAGACGAGGACAGCCTTGTCGGTGCCCAGCCCAGTGCAGCCAAGTCCATCTGCGCACTCTCCACTCAGCCCGCTCCAGCCCCAGCATGCCAGCCTCAATTCATTCAGGGGTCCCTTTTCCCTTTTTCCTCCCTCGCTCCCTTTTCTACTCCTTCCCCTCCCCTGCATCAGCCAAACACAGGTACGGAGACGGACTACGGAGACGGACTACGCATACCTAACGATTAGTTACCTACTTCGCGGCGCTTGGCCTGCTCTAGGCCCTCTAGGCCTCGCCTGTCCCCTCCTAGTTAGCCTTTCGCGCGCCGTCGTCTCCTTTCCCTCAGCTTCATCCTTTTTTCTTGCTCTTCTCCCCATCTGTATCCCTAATTACCTTCATTTTCTTTCCTCTTGCTCTTATTTTGCCCAACAACACTGCTTCCGCCCTTTTTCGGGATATATTCATACTCGCCCATCATCGTTCTACCCGTCACACAGCGATCGATCGAGGACAAGGGACGACAAGAGTCCAAAAAAAAAAGGTTGGGCCACAGATCACCCACCTATCGCGCACAGGGCCATCTACGGCGCATCGCCACACGCGCTCCCTTACAACGCCATCCGCGAGCCTTCTTTGCTCCATTCATAGCATCTATACACTTGGCTTGCCCATCATGCCTCGTCCATCTGGCGACTCGCCGCTTCCCACGGCCGAAAAGCCGGCCGCCCCAACAGCGGCCTCCGGCCTCCACCCCTCGCTCTTCATCCTGTATGCTCTCTTCTGCGCTCCCGGCATCTTCGCATCATCCTCTGGCGCGCGCAAGCACTAATACCAGCATTTCTCTAGAAACTGGATCCTCTTCTCCAATGCTACCATCCTCTTCAACAAATGGCTCCTCGACACAGCCGGCTTCCGTACGTTGGCGCGCTAAGTCGCGTTATAGTCCCCTCGTTCCGTGTCACCTACTAACATGGCATGTCTAGGATACCGTACGTTCTCCGTCCTACACCCACGCACCACGACCCCCTCCGCAACGTTCTGCTAACCATAGACAGCCATTATTTTAACATGCTGGCATCTTATCTTTGCTACCGCCGCCACCCAGATCCTCGCCCGCACTACGAACCTCCTTGAGAGTCGCAAGTCCCTCCCCATCAACGGCCGCATGTACCTCCGCACCATTGTCCCCATTGGTGTCCTCTACACCGGCTCCCTCGTCTTCTCCAATCTCGTCTACCTCTATCTCTCCGTCGCCTTTACCCAGATGCTCAAGGCCGGCTCCCCCGTTGCCGTCCTCTTCACCTCATGGGCTTTTCGCGTCGCCGAGCCCAACCTCGCCAAGTTTCTCAACATTCTCGTCATCGTCGTCGGCGTCGCCGTGGCCAGCTTTGGCGAGATAAACTTTTCCTTGATCGGCTTCACCTATCAGATGCTCGGCATCGTCTTTGAGGCGGTCCGCCTCATCATGATTCAAGTCATGCTCACAGCCGAGGGCATGAAGATGGACCCTCTTGTCGCCCTCTACTACTACGCTCCCGTCTGCGCCTTCTTCAACATCTTTGTCGCCCTCTTCACCGAAGCCAGCACATTCAAGTATGAGGATCTTGTCAACACCGGCTTCACCGTGCTCTTCCTCAACGCCAGTGTCGCCTTTATGCTCAACATTGCTAGCGTCTTTCTCATTGGCAAAACGTCTGGTCTCGTCCTCACCCTCACCGGTATCCTCAAGGCAATCTTGCTTGTCGCCGTCTCCGTCGTCATCTGGAAGACGCCCATTACCTTGCTCCAAGCCTTTGGCTACGGCATAGCCCTCCTCGGTCTCTCCTACTACTCCCTCGGCTATGACAATGTCGTCAAGGTGTACAACAACTCCACCGCTTACATCTCGGCCACCATGAACTCGTATGGCGCTGTTCCTGGTTCTGCCGACGGTGTCCGCGGTGGCCTGCTCACCAAGCGCTACATTGTCCTCGGCAGTGCCGTCTTTGGCTTCCTTTTTGTCATGGCCGTCCTCTTTATGTGGGTGAATTCGGTGCCCACCACTATCCCCGTCACCTCATTAGGCACGAATTAGACGCGCTGTAAGAATCTATGGAATACAGGAGAATCTCGTCACTATCTACCCTTTGGATATTAGGCGTTTGAGCCATGGCTGTACTTTTATCGCCCGTTTGGGCACTTCTGGATGTGGAAACAAGCGATTTATTGAGACTAGAAACGGTTTCCTTTTTATGTATGGTTAATATGATGAAGATTAAATCCAAACAGGCATGGCGATCATTTTGCTTGCTTATTGGCTGCAGGCGAGATTGCCGTTAAGGTTGCACAAGACATCGTCTGTATCAATCAGCCGAGACCCGGAGGGCAATGTTTATCGACATACTCAAGTTGATCTGCGTCAGCTTCTCGTGGCCGCTGCCATCCCCGCACGTCGCGTGGAAAAAGTTGTGCGTCCCAAGCGGATCAATACCAAAGTCGCGGCAGCTATGCGCGAACCTGTCGAATCGAGGTCAGCTTCTTCTCCCCGAAACAACTATACAGCCAACGACAACAAACATACCCGCTCCCGCCCGTCAGCTGCCCAAAGGTGTTGGACAGGCAGTCGTTGATGAGCACCGCCGGGTTGTAGTGACGCTCGCCGGCCCGGTCGAGGCAGTAGGTCGCAAACACGGACATGTCGGCGTCGGGCCGGCCCGACGTGCCGTTCTGCGCGTACGCCCGTCCGCACGTCCCGGCGAAGCCGGAGCAGCCGCCGCGCCGGACCATCGCCGCGGTACCGGCCGAGGCGAAAAGAAGCACGGCATCGAGAAGCATGGTGTATGTGCAGGTTGTCTACGAAGTCGCGGTGGATGAGTGGCAAGGAAAGGGCTTGAGAGAGCGGTTTCTACAGAGGATTGACGGGAACGCGGGTCATGTCTTGGACGGAAGCGGCATGGGATCCAAGAGCCTGCCATCGGCCCGATCCATCTGGGAGCGGGAGGATCACATTGGAAGACACGCTACGCTTTGTGATGGTAGGGTCGTCTTGGAAGCTGCAGATGGCGGCTTGGCTAGAGTTGCATCGCATTAGTTCGGCGCACATTACCCCGGTGCAGTGCCGTGCCGCGCTTGCATGTACATGGTGTGGCTTGGGGGGAAAATAGACGGGGTCAAGTATGATGATGCCCAAGACGGGCCTAAACTTGACTTGGCATGTGTATTAGCGGCTGGTTTGCTTGGTGGTGATCTGTATGGTCTCGGCAAGGTCGCCGGTCAGACTTGTACAAAGAGGCCGAGAATGCACTATATCGAGCAAGTTGAGTTGCTTGCTGCAATATAAGGTGCGAAAAATGAATGCCGGCCTCGGACAAGTGAGAAGCACACTCGTGATGTATTTCAGGTCTTGCTAGCTGCCAACGCAGAACTAATACATCGCCGCACAATATCCAAAGGGGGGAAATAAGGACAGAACGCGAGAGCAGGAAAAGTGACGAACAAAAAAAATATGTCAAGAAAAAATAATGGGAAATAGGACGTGAAAACAAACGAAACACTGGGGCCGTGTAAAGCAAAAACCAATTTTAAGAGCTCGGAGCCGGGATCGAACCGACGACTTCAGGATAATCTTACTGGTGGTTACCCACTTAGCTGCAATCCCGTACTCTACCACTGAGTTATCCGAGCTTGGGGTAAAAACTTTGCAAATATAGCTCATATAGGTGGCGCAGCATTTGTGGCGGCTCCAGCAAAGACAGCAAGGCAAACCGACCTTGAAAACCCAGAAACTGTTTAAACAACTGTTTCTTTTCGACATGGCGTGCCTTTTCGATTAGAAACACGACTTATTTGTGGTAATGTAAGCAGGCAACTCCGTGTCACCACCCCCACGCTGAAAAGAGGCATTGACAACATCTCAATAGCGTTCTGCGAACATCAAACTAAAGTATGGGTGCATCTAAGTATTGATAGATTAATCGCAAATAAACAGTGGCTTCTGGACCAATGTACGAGCCAATTTGTAGAGGAGCATGCGTACACAGCGGACGGTATTCCATACATTCCATATGCGCGAGCTGCCCGTGCCATTTGTAGGCAGCACCAAAAAAGGACCAGCCAAAAGAAAATTGTTCTGCGGCAGGCCCCATCAATTTGCACCTCCTACATAATTCTTGTTCACCAACAAAAAAAAGCTAAAATAGTGTTGGATGATTACAGTTCCATCGTCACGGAGCCTCGCCTTCGCAGCACCTATTGCTGTCAGCCACAAACAACCCCACCAAGTTTGTGGGGTGCAAAATCAACAAAAAAAAATGTAAAAACGAAAGCTGTAGAGCTCGAAGCCGGGATCGAACCAGCGACTTCAGGATATTTCGCTGGTGAATGTGTAAACACCTCACTGCAATCCCGTACTCTACCACTGAGTTATCCGAGCTGGACGTGGAGTCGAACCAACCAATTACGCACTATACACGACTCCGATTTCCAGGTCGCGTACCATGGCGGGTGTCAAGAGAAAAGAGCATGGTTGATTAGAAGTTCGGCTTCTAAATATACGGGCTTCTTCGGCTACTGTGGCTAAGATGTCGAGTTTTTTCTGGAGCGAGCGTCTGCTACCCTGTGCCTGTGCTATGTACCCGCCGCTGGGCGAGCTCCCGCTTTAACTTGGTACAGGGTATGGTGCGGCTATGTGGTGTGTCTATGGCAAGCTTCAATATCAAGGGAAGCATGAATCTATTCTGCTCAGGTACCGCTTCATCGAATCCCAATAGTTTTTGGCATACACTATTTCACCCACGACTAGACGGGCTCTCAAACCGTTGGTATTAGACCCAAGAACGCTGGTACTTCATTTGGTTTACGTAACTGCCGTCTATAGTAATGCTGCATTGTATTAATGATTCAAACATTTCAACAATTATGGTGCTGCCGGGGACTTATTAATAGTTACTTATAGCACAAGATCGCAAACAATACCAATGTTGGTCTAAGCCGCAGCTAGACCTTGGATAGTATACTTTGCTACTTTCCAGTGTATTGTAACCAGCGTCATCAACTCACCATATTAATTTCTTGCCCTTGACTTTCCTGGAAACATCACCTCAACTTATTTGTTTCAATGTAGGCCCCTGTGCAGACTCATATATTGGTGACCATCTGACAAAGAAAAATCGAAAGGAAAGAGCCATCTAACTGCTGGAATTAATATATACAATTATAGTAGCCAGTGTTCTTAAGCCTAGGGGCTGCGGCTACGTCGCCTGCTTCGGCTGCGGTCTCGTCGGTCACGGCGACGGGACGTGCTACGCTCTCGTCTGTCACGGCGGTCCCTATCACGGTCCCTATCACGGTCCCTATCACGGTCCCTATCACGGTCCCTGTCCCTATCACGGTCTCTGTCCCTATGGTCCCTGTCTCTATCTCGATCGCGATCGCCATCTCTGTCGCGGTCCCTATCCCTATCCCTATCCCTATCCCTGTCACGATCCCGATCCCGATCGCGGAACGCGCCCCTCTCAGCGCTACGACTGCGCGACCGACGTTCGTCGCGCCGCCTGTCGTCGACGCCCGGCACAGGAAGCCCCTTGGCCCTCGCATCCTTTTGAGCGGCGAGGTACGCCTTGGCCTCCTTTTCGCGCTTCTTGACCTCTTCGAGCTTGAGCGCCTCAAGTTCCTCGCGCGTTGCCGAGGCGGTGCGCAGGTGCGTGGAGCGGGACCGTGTTCGGCGGTCGCGGTCACGGCCCCTATCACGATCGCGGTCATCTCTGCGATCGCGATCCCTCTCACGGCTCTTGCTCCGGCGGCGCGCAGGCGAGCGAGCCGCGGCTGCCCTGGGGTCGTAGTGGTCGTAGCGGTCTGCCACGGGCCGCTCCCGCGAACGACTGCGGTCTCTGTCTCGTCTTGGGCGGCTGTCCTCGCGGCGGCTGCGCGAGTCCCGACGGCTGCTGCGGTCCTCTCGTCGATCCCGTGAACGGCTTCTCTCCCGGCGGCGCGGTGGCGGTGGTGTCCTAGCGCGCGACCTGCTGCGGTCTCTGCGGCGCGAACGACTCCTGTCCGAAACCCTGGCACGCGAACGGCTGTGATCGCGCTCGTCACGCCGGGGTCGGGAGCGGGATCTCTCTCGTCGCGTCCGTGAGCGGCTGTGGTCTCGCCGGGGCGATTTGGACCGCCGATCGCGGCGGCTTCGCTCTCTGCTGCGGTCACGTCTTTTCTCGGCGTCCTTGTCAAGCGCGCGCGAGGCACTGCGGCTGACGCGTCGCTCGTCGCGCGGCGGCGCGGACGACTCCCCTCGATCGCGGCGTGTCTTGGAATCGCCTCTAACGGATCCACGACCAGACTCGCGTCGGATGGGGTCGATGGCAGAGGCAGGCGCCGATTTGCGAGGCGGCGGCGCCAGCGCCGAGTCAATCTCGATTTCGGGCCGGCTGCGCGTGGAGCGACTCTCGCGGATCAAATCATCCAGGGCTTCCTGCTCGAGGCGCTCGAGCTCTTCCTTGGATAACTCCTTGGGCTCTTTCTCCTTGACCCGGCTCTCTGTATCACGGCGGCGAGATCTGTCCCTATCTCTATCCTTGTCCCTGTCTCGGTCTCGATCCCTATCCCTATCACGGTCTCGGTCTCGGTCACGGCTTCGATCACGGCTTCGATCGCGGCTTCGAGCGCGGTCATCGCCTCTGTCGTCTTTGCGTTCCACTTCACGCTCCTTGTCTCTTCGCTCGCGTTCTTTATGGCGTTTGTCGCGTTCCAAATCTCGAAGTCGTTCCCGCTCTTCACGGTCCGCTTCGCGTTTGCGTCTGCGCTCGTCACGCTCGTCCTGTCGTTTGATCTCGGCCTTTTCCCGCTCTCTTTCTTCCTTCTTGCGCTCCTCCCTCGCGATGCGGCGCTTTTCCTCCTCAATCGCTTCCTCCTTTAGTCGTAGCTCCTCCCGGATGCGGGCGCGCTCGGCGCGTCGGGCCGCCGTATCGGCTGCGTAGTCTTCGTCCGTCTTGGCCCCGCGTAGTCTCTCCGCCTCGGCGGCTTCCGGACCGAGCTCGGCGCGGCGAATCTCGCGGATGCGCTCCTCGATGGTGCCGACGTCAATCAGCTTGCCGAGAACCTCCTCGGCCTTGTGGTAGACGCCAGAGCGCTCGAGAGCGCCGTCGATCAGGGCGGCCGCTTTGCGTCGATCGAGGGTGAGGAGTTGCTGCGGATTTCGCTCGACTTCCTTTTCGGCGACTTCGAGTATGGCCTTGGTGACCTGCGCCTCATAGTCGCTCGCCTCGAACTTGTCCCATACATGCTTGCGAATGTCGTCGTACGCACCCTCCTTTTTGAACGCGTGTGCGAGCGATTCAATGGCGGCGCGTGTCGCCGAGGGCAAGGGTAGGTCGTATGCCTTGTATTTGCGTGTCGTCGCGCCTGCGCTGAGTTTACCACTGGGTGCCTTGTCCATTGAAGCCATTTATCGCGCTGGCTGGCACAAGCCAAGGTCTTAATTCCAGCAGAACCGCGCGTGTTATTTGCTGTATGGAGGCCTTCAAGAAACGTGCATGCTGTAGCGTTGCACACGGCGCGAAGCTGTTGATGCAGGGTTTACTGTTGGTGCTGCGGGAAAGTTCAAGTTGAAATCCCCTGGCGCGCCGCACTCCCTTCGATAAGATATGGGGCACGTGATCGACAATTAGAACATGTAATCTCTCAATGTTGTTGCGGAAACTATTTCGTATGATTGTAGAGAAAAGATGCACTCGGACTTCATGGATCAATGGCTAAGTTCATATTTTGGGGACATGTTGAAAATTAATCGGCTCAGCCATCGCGTACTGGCCCAATACACCTACATCGCGTGTTCCACTTACGCTGCAAGCTAGGTAGGCAGGTAGATTGCCTTGGTAACCAACAGTTCCATATACCAAAAGGGCGAAAAGGAAAAAAAAATACGTGTTGAAGTGGTTTATCCGACAGGAATTAATTGTGATTTTAATTTTGTATTACGCAACTGAGAACCACATCTCTTGGACCTCTATGGAGTTCAACTCTAGAGTCGGCTGCCCCGCACCATCGTACTAAGAAGAGCAACCAGGCTCGCTTCTGCGACTTGACCTGCCAACACACCATTCATATAGAGTTCTATATACACAAGTGCAAGATGTCAGCTACCTCTGTAGACGGCGACCCAATCGACACAAAAGAGAACCTCAGGCGAATGGCTGCTGGTGAACTGTACTATGCCTTCACGCCAGATCTAATTGCGGCTCGCAAGAGGGTCGAAGTTGCCTACAAACAATTCAATAAGGCCGAGAATGCTTCGCGGCGGGAACTTGCCGAGATTTGGAACGAGTAAGCGCAGCCGGACTCTCGATGACCCATTCAATACTGAGCCCCCCCAGTGTCACCCAGGATAAGACGCCGCTCCCCCCCAAGGCCGCCACAGAAGAAGAAGACGAGGAGCTCCTCCAAGACCTGGCTTGGGTTGACCGACCCATTGGCAAGATTGACTACGGCTATAACATCAAGTACAGCCTTAACACCGAGTCCATGCCACGTTTGCGCAAGCTGACGTCTACAGGCTGGGCAAGAATGTGTACATCAACAGCAACAGTGTCTGGATAGACACGTGCACCATCACCATTGGGGACCGGGTCATGGCCGGACCCAACGTTCACTTTTACTCTGGTACGCACCCGGTCGACTACCGCGTCCGCAACGGCACGCGTGGCCCCGAGAGCGGCGGGCCCATCACCGTCGGCGACGACTGCTGGCTGGGCGGCAACGTGACCATCCTGGCGGGCGTTACCATTGGCCGCGGCAGCGTCATTGGCGCCGCCAGCGTCGTCACAAAGGACATTCCGCCCGAGTCTGTAGCGGTAGGAAACCCTGCACGCGTCATTAGAAAGGTTGACACCTCCAAGCCCCCTCAGTTTCAATAAGCGTTTCTATTAGTCGTCCTTTTGTCACATATTCGCAGTATATAGAGGGCACATAGGCAATAAAGAGACTATGATTTCGAATGCTTCTGTATTATAATAGCTGTACAGTTTGAGTAAAAATATGGATGGATATCATGGCGTATTTGTCGTAAACAGTTCGTCGTAGAAGAGAGAGATGGTGTAGATTCGCAACACAACAGTATAAAAAGAGAAGCAAGAACGCCTCGCCACAAAATGGTGTACCACAGAGGGAGTAAGAGGGTAAGAAAAAGAGGGATCGTAGAGACAGTAGACAGAGCGTCAGGCTCAAAATTCGCCGTCGCCCCCATTTCCAATAACATTGGCAGCCCAAAGGCCAACGAGCCCCCACCAGTTCACCTTCCAGCCACGCCACAGTCCGTCGAGGCCCTGGCCGTTTTTGACAAGGGGTGTCTGCGGCCGAGCTTTGTTGGCTTTGCGGTTCCCTTTGATTGGCGGCTGCAGCTGCAAGGTCCTGGAGCCCTCGTTCGAGGTGATATGGTACATGGTGCCTAGGACACCGCGATATGGGCCGATGGGGACAATCGTCTCCATGCGGAGATCCTTGCCGGCGAGAGCACGAATGTATTCAGGGCTCGATAGAACAGCCATCTGTCCCCGGCGAAGGACCGTCTCGAGCGGTAGCTTCACAAGGATAGCCGTCGTTGAGGCGAGGAATTTGGCTGCGGAAAAGGTCATGGGCGACGCCTGTTTATCGAGCAAGAACTTGGTGCGCAGAAGAAGAGGAGTCGAAAGGGTAAAGAGTGGGTGTATGAGCGAGTTGAGAATCGTGGGTATAGCAAGCATCGAGTTGATAAAGTACGACGGCAAAGCGCGCAGCGTGGCGAGGGTGCGGCGCGGGCCCTTGCTGCTGGGCGTCATGATGAGTCTCGTCCTGACAAGGTCGAGCGGCGCGAGAGCCAATCCAGTTACTACAGCCGCAGTGGCCGCAATAAATAGTGATGCCCACGGATACGGCGTCGCGATATCAATGATGCGATCGATGTCCTCCTTGAGACCCAAGTCCGGAACATTGAATACGGCGCTGAGGAAGCTGCGGGACCAGTTCTCCAGCAGCGAGTGCAGCACTGTGTATAAAAACGTGGCATTGGAGGCCTTCCATACACCAAATGCGCCATTCTTCTGCCATAGATGGCCGATGACTTCGGTGACGGAATCGGGGCGGCGAAGAGGAATATAGTGCTCCGAGATGACGGGTTGCCGGTGTGTGACGGGCTTTGGGGAGGTGAGCGGGGAAGCGCGGCGCTCGGTCAGGCTGCCTCTCATCGTGCTTGCAGGCGTATCGGGGCCGTTGTATGTAAAGAATGTAGATTCGTCGCCTTCCGAGTCGGAATCGTGCTGGGGGTTAGGTCAGCGTTGTCACACGAGCTGTGTGACCCGTGGCATCACGGAGAGGGCGATACCTACATCAGGAATTCCCAGGCCTTGGCTGGAAAACGACATGGCAGAAACTTCTGTTTCTACTGACTCGGACAGCAGTGCCTTCTCATCCTGGTTGCGGGCCTGGAGGATCGTCTTGGCCACCTCAAACGGCTGTGCCATGAGCACCGAGGTGTACTTCCAAACAAGGTCGTCGAGCAGCTCCTTGACGCTGCGCGTCATGCTCGGCGTGTCATCGTCCATGTAACCATTGTAGTCGAGATCGGCAAACATGTCGCGTGCCCGACTGGCGTAGCGTGACGACGTGGCGACGGCTGACGAGGCCGTCGCGTTGCGCGCCGACGAGGACGAAAAGGCTTTGGGCCCGGGAGCGGCGGGCTCTACGCGCTCGCCGATCGAGGGCCGGATGTAGTATGGTCGTAGGGGATTGACCCCGTCGCCGTGGCTCGTCATTTTGAAGATTATGGGAGACTCATGTGGTGGTGGAGAAGGAGGTGAGGGGATGAGGGGATGAAGAGGAAAAAAAGTTTGGCAAGTGGCAGGGAAATGAAATCGTACCTGGCTGGGTGCAGTGGCGAGTCGGATGTGGCAGGCGGCGGGCCGGAGCCGCTAATAAACAAGTTGGGCGGCGCAACTTGACTAACCACCACTACCGAACGCGAAACCCCTGTCGCCTGAATTTCCAAGATAATTCATAATTCATCATGCTATTGGGTATCTCACAGTACTTTCTATTTTCTTGTCACCTACGTCAGTGCTCGAAATTCTGACAGGAAAAGAACATCGAGTAGACAGAATGGAAAGAGATAACAATGATGGCACATTCAAGACAAAATTGGACTTTTCGAACTCATCCAAAATAAATACTTGCGATTCAGGGCGACCTCGACTTAAAATTGATCCAAAATATCCGTTAATACTAGCTATGTATTTATACACCCAACCAGCAGATCTCAGTAGTGCGAATAGTACAAGATGGATCTACCCCCCTCTCTATCCCCAAACATAGCATTGTACACTCTTTGCCAATTTGGATCAAAGTGGAATATTCAATATCCAATATTCAATATCCAAGCCAGCAACAGACTACCCTCTGGCATAGCGATACAGAAGAGCCATCTCCCGCATTCTCACGGCCTGGCCAGGAGTAAATCCAGTCTTGCAGGGTCTACCACGCTCAGTCAGTATAGTGCGGCACGGCATCCAAAAAAAAAAGGTCAATATCAACTTACTCGCGGGAGTAATCCATATGATTCTCAATGGGATCAAGGCCCGGCAGCTGCGGGCAGGTGTTGCGCCCGACTGGGCAATTGGTCTCCCAGTTGGCACTGGCCTCGGCCGGCGTGTCCGCCACGTAGTCACCCTGTGTCTGGCTGCAGCCGCCATCAAAGGTGTGAAGGAGCCCAAACCAGTGTCCGACTTCGTGGACGCTCAGGAATCCCCGGCGGTTGAGGGTGCCGTCAGGGAAAGAGTCGCTCGCGGCCATGCAGCCGTCAATGGACAGGTATTGGTCGTTGCTGCCAATCCAGAAGGGGTAGCGGCAGTAGCCGCTGCCTCGCCAGCTGGGAATGTAAAAGAGGTTGAGATCGAGACGTCCGCCGATGCGCAGACGGGGGATCATCTCGCCCTCAACAGAGCTGCCGGGGTACGCGGCGTTGGCCCAGCGTGTGTTGACAGTGTACGAGGTGTTGACGTAGTTGAAAGCTATATTGGCCAGGGCGTATTGCTGGTTGAGAACTCGGATCTGCGAATCAATCTGTTGTCTCTATTTTTTACATAACATCAGCGTCCGACAAAGTTCCACTGATCCAGTGTTCCATACAGAGATGTACCCCGCAGAAGGAGAAGTGCCAGAAGCGTTCTGGATGATGTGGACGTAGGTGTTGAAAACCATGGGCGCGGTGCTGCCCGCTTGCCGGGCGTCGATTGAAGTGTCGAACCCGGTGGCGTCGACAAGATTGGCTGTCCCGACGGCAACATCCTTCATGATGGAAGCGTCACTGGCGAGCAACTTGGCATGGACTTTGCGGCCGTCGTCGCTGCCATGGGCTACGCAAAATTCGCTTCCATGTTGCGGGGGAATGGCAGCAGCCAAAGGCAGGGCAGCCAGCAAGGCCGCGACGATGCGGGAAGAAAGAAGCATGATGAGCACAAGGAGAAGGTAGTCCTTTTCGAGAGTGCCTTGTTGTAAGCTGTGAAAGAGTTGTTGGAGCGGCTGTAAAATATTGATGAGACTGCCATCACGACCGGTTTATATACACCGTGCTGGGCATGATGAACTCTGAGAGCGAGCTCCTCGTCATCAACTGCCGAGATGAGCAATGATTTGAAGTACGTTTCTGTTACGATAACGAAACCTATCAATCTGCTCATACCCCAACTTAGATTGACGAGATTACACGATCGTTGCCGCCAAAGAGACGTTGTAAAGCCTACTACCTGCCGGTTGCAGCTAGCATACCCGCCTCCGATACCGCTGTATTCATCGAAACTGCCTAAAAAGGACAGACAAACGAGGAGATGGGATTGGGAATGAATGAGCTTGGCAGAGAATTGGGGAAGTTGTGTTTCGCGTGTGCCTAACCGCCTTGTAAGTGATCAGGGCAGCTCGGCGACGTCGACAGGTCAAGTGGGCGGGAAAATGAGGCTTGCCCAGCCGTTGTGCAACTTCCAAGAAGGGCCAAAAGCTAAAGCTAGTATGGAGATTTCCCCTCATTTTGTCTATTGCTTAAGAATGAGGTAATCTGTTCAGCGATACGGGTGATCAAATGCCCTAGTTATCCTAGCTCCCCCAATGCCAAGCTGAGGCGCCTCCGGCTTTGCTGGCTCTGGGAAGCCATGTAGAGATAAAACCTCCGAGGGTCCGCACAAAAAAGCCAAGCGACGCTTTCGAAATCAGACGAAACGAAGCCGAGAATTGTTGCATTCTAGATTTGGAAATTGGAGGACTATGCTGGGGTACGCTGTTGTGTTGCACCGAAGGCTGGGCAGTGTTTGGCAACTAGTCTCCGGCAATATTCTAGAACGGATAAAGTAGCAATTGGCCTTAAAGCAGTCCGCGGATCTCTCGTCATATTTCCCCCGTAAAACAAATTAAATCTTGTACTCCCACGAACGTATAGCAGTGCGGAGCTATAATATCAGTGATGATACAGCGGACAAGACTGACCGAATTGAAGACCCAAAAGATAAGAGAAGAAGAAGTTTGCTATCTCGTACCGGAGCCCACACTCCAATGACTACATATTCTTAATCGTGATCCTTGTCACCATAGACAACGTAACCGCAGCCTCGGACATCGAGCCTCTCGGGCCTGAGAGGGCGCCACTTTAATTCTCCGGAAGGCCATCTCGGCTGCAGCCAATGGCAGCGGCCGTAATTGAACAAGCCCGAGCCAGGGAAAAAAAAAAACGCTCCTGAGCCAAACGTCAGAGCTTACCAGCCGCAAAACCCGCCATCATCAACTGCCACCAAACAACGTCCGTCCCCCTCCGTCCACCCCCTCCTTCTCTACCCCCCATGTCGACCACACGCACAATCGCGACCAGCATTGCCAGGCTGTCCATAGCCACGAGCCGACGACGGCCCGCCTGCGCCGCCGCCGCCGCCCGCGTCGGCCTTGCTACCTCATATCTGCCGAGCCGGCCCACGACGGCGCCGGCAGGCTGGACGACGGCGCTGGCGATGCGCACATTTACGACGACGCGGGTGCAGCGCCACGGGCACGTCCACACGCCCAAAGCCGGTGAAGAGTGAGCGTCATCTCCCTCCCTCGGCCCCCCGAGATTTTTAATTTCCCGAGAACCGTTTCCGCTGACCTGCAAGACTCTACATTACGTTTGTCGACAAGGACGGCGAGGAGCACAAGCTCGCCGTCGCCGCGGGCGACAACCTGCTCGACATTGCGCAGGCGCACGACCTCGAGATGGAGGGCGCCTGCGGCGGGTCCTGCGCCTGCTCGACCTGCCACGTCATCGTCGCCGACGAGGGGCTGTACGACAAGATGCCCGAGCCCGAAGACGACGAGAACGACATGCTCGACCTGGCGTTTGGCCTCACCGAGACAAGTCGCCTCGGCTGCCAGGTCGTCATGACAAAGGAGCTCGATGGCTTGGTCGTCAAGCTGCCCACCATGACGCGCAACTTGCAGGCCAGCGACTTTCAATAGTGCTGGATATGGGAACGCTCAAGGGGAGAAGAAGAAGAAAGAGCCATTGAATTGATTTTTTGTACATGCGGGATTTTCCATTTTATTTTTTCAACTGCATCCGGCGCAAACACTACATGTACAATACTGTAACGAACAAGTCGTTGGGCGGGGGGCGAGCTGACGGGATGGACAAAGCGGCATAATAAAATGGGGATGCGTATATGGGATATTGTAACAACAAATATAAAGAGATTCCCTATTCTACAAGATCACTTGGATGCTCTGAGGAACCTGAACAATCACGTCCATCAACATGACAATTGAATATCCATTCATTCCCAGACTTTACTCAATGACATGGCTCAAAAACAAATCCATTATATACAGTATGCAATTTACGGGCGCCCTCCCCTCCGCTACGCCTCCTCAATCGCACTCGCGCTCTTCTTGAGCGCCTGACCCCCCGACGCCAACAGGTCCAGGAAGCCCTTTTTGCTCATCTCATTGACCTTTTCCTCGCGACGCCCCATGCCGAGCACGCCGGCCTGCCTCGTCGCGCGCTCCGCCTCGCCCGACTTGACCTGCGCCGCGCGCACGGCGTTGAACATTTTGACGACACCCCGCTGCGCCGTCTTGCGCAGCTTGCCCTCGGCCGCCAGTATGTCCGACGTTGTCGTCTCCGGCACGGCCGCCGTGGCCACGAGCACGTCACGCACGCGGCCCTTTTCCTGCGCCTTGCGCTTGTGCTCCCACAGCTGCCGCTTCGCCTTGGCCTCAAGCGCGCTCTCGACGACCGCCCGCGACGACGCGTGCGCCGCGGCGCTGCGCGCCAGGACCGGGTCGGCGCGCTTCGACGATGACAGCTTGGTGGACAGAATCTTGGACAGCGATGTGGCAAAGGCGGCGGGGTCGTTGCGCTTCTTGGGTTTTCTGGAGCCGCCTTCCTCATCGTCGTCGTCCAGGTCAAATTCGTCATTCATGTCCTCGTCATCTTCATCGTCGTCGTCGTCTTCGTCATTGTCTTCTGCCTCGGGCAAGGCCTGCTCGACATCGCTGTTGTCATCTGTAGCTAGCTTCTTGGGCATTTTGGCCTTGACTTTTGCGCTGCCTTTGGCGACCCGGGCCTCTTTCGGCGGGGCTTCCTCTTCTGAACTCGAATTGTCGCTGCCATCGTCCCCGCCGACGTCGTCGGCTTTGGCATTGTGAATATCGTCGTCCGAGTCGAGCAGGTTGACAGCGTCAAAGTCTTGCTGCTGCTGCTCGTCGCCCTCGTCCTCGTCCTCATCCTCTGAGCCGCTGTGGTATTCCTTTTGCACACGTCGCTCACGCCTTTGTCGTTTCATGGGCTTCTGGAACTTGCTGCGCATGAGGCGCTTATTGTTGGTAGGAGGACCAGCCATGGTGATTTGTGAAAAAATTGCCGTTGATTGTAGAAAATTGGCAATTTTTGTATCGAGGCAAGCACACAGTGGCACTCTACATTTTGGCTAAAAAAATGCTTGCATGGCTAATTTTGCCGGATCTTTTCTGCGTGGTGGGGCGGCCGTTCAAGGCGGTGAAGGTACAAGGTTGACTTTATATCTACAGTCTTCCCTGATGAGCCGCATTGAAGGCGTCAAGCCGGCGAGTATTAAATACGGCAGTAATTGTTCGATAAAATAGAATTATTAAAAAAAATAATGTCAATTAAAAAAAGAGAAAGATCGCGCCTAGATGATCGCAATACCTCCCATTGGGCGCCGAAGCGCATCAGAGAACCAAACGCCGCATACTCCACACAAGGACATCACAAGAGAAAACACGAAAAGTAAAATTAAAACTTGAGAAAGTCCCAGATAGAACCAGAACTGCTGCTCGCCGGCTTGGCGGCGACGAGGGTAGTGTTCCACGCCTCCTTGCCATCGACATAGAGTTGATAATGAAGTGAGCTTTCACCATCAATGTTCTCGATAGTAAACGCGCCGAATTTAGAGGAGCCGGCGGGGATATACCTAGAAAAGTTAATTTTATGCTCAATTATGTTCAAGGTGACAATGCTTACTTCAGTTTGATATCCTCATCATCAGTCTGCCTGTATGTCGGGAATGGAGAGGCAAACTGGTTGAGAGGACTGGTGGAAATTTCGTGCGCTGCAGCGGAAGCAGGCCACTTGGACTCTTTAGGGGGCGGAAACTTGGTAGCAGCAAATTCGTGGCGATCGCCGGAAAGGATGAGGACACCCATACCGCGAGAACCAGCATCCCACATGGCTTCGAGTATTCTGCGTCGCTCAACAAGGAAGCCGCCCCAAGTGTCCCGGACATTCACGGGCCAGTTTTTGGTGAAGGGAACAGACGAGGCCACAATCTTCCACTTGATGCCGCGCGGCTCGGGGCGTGCGAGCCAGGCGAGGAAGTCCTCTAGCTGCTCAGCGCCAAGCATGGTCTTGTCTTCGTCTTCAAAAGGTACCTTGTTGCGCGAGCGGTAGCTGCGGGTATCCATCAAGAAAAAGCTGGCCGGGCCTTGGGCAAACGTGTACCAAGTGGCATTTTGGCGCCGAACGTTGGTAGTGCCCGCACTGAGAGCCTTTGGCGGGTTCACATTCGCTTGGTAGGTGGCCCAAGGTTGAACTGCAGCCTGGTATACCCCAGTGTCGCTGGCGTCCCAGTCGTTGGAAATTTCGTGGTCATCAAGGACATGAATCCAGCTCAAGTTCTGGGCAACAGGTGCCCAGTCCGGAGAAGCATAGACTTGGCGGTATTGCATTCGGTACTCAGCAATGGACTTGCCAAAACGGTTCGGCACATCGATGTAGATGAAATCACCAAGGAACAACATAAACTGAGCGCTGAGACTAGGGAGCTTGTCGGCAAGATGGCGCAGACCAGGGATGGCCAAGGCGTGATCGAGAGGGTTGTACGGAAAACGCGGCAGAATGCACGACGTAGACAAGAAAGTAAACTTGCCGTCCATTTTGTCAGAAAGTTGGCCAGGTCGTGGAGCAGATAGAAAACGTCCAGTGTGGTTATTAGAGGTCCGATACTCGTACCAGCGAGGGTATTTATGTTTCAAGGGAATGTTGACAATGCCCGTAAAATCAGTCTCGTTGTTGGTCGATTGGAGCCCACCAGCCAAGCGCCAGATGGGGTCTTCAAACGGGGGTTGGGGATCAGCGATGCGAATCTCAACAGTGACTGGCATTTTCGCTTGATCAGGCTCACGAAGAAGCATCTTGGCTTCTTCATTGGAAATATAGCCCAACCGGACGAAGGAGAGATCGTCGGCAGGGTAAAGAACACGCGCGCGGAATAAGGCGTCGGCTGTGAGGGCAACAAAGATGCCGTTGATGACGAAGGTCAAGATGGAGGAGACCTGATCGCGGGGATTTGGGGCGCCAAATGCGAGAATTTTCCAGCTGGAGACGGGCTTTGGCTCCAGGATAATATTCTCTTGCACATCGACTTGGTCGACGACGACGGGAGTGCCACTGCCATCAGCGGGAGCAAGAGTGGTTTCTTTTACAACCACATTAACTTCGTCGTCAGCTACTTGGAGCTCTGGGCCTGCACGGTACGTAGCCAAGTAGGCGGGTACATAGATGGCAAAGGCGGCGAAAACAGCGGTTGGGAAATGAGCCTGTGAATGTTAGCGCAGCCGCCCCCTATCTGGTCATCATGGTGCGTACAGGAAACTATTGTTGGCATGTGAGCAAAAACGATACATATTGAATATGGGAACAGGAGGTCTTACGAATCGAAAGAATATGATGGCGGATATCCTCAGCGCAAGCGAGGATATGCGGGCGACAGTAACTTGGACCGTCATTGTTATCGGAAGTGACGAAGTGGATGTAGGCAGGAAGAAGTAAGGTAAAAAAATCCGAGAAGATGGGTGAAAGAGAGACAGGAAAAGTAGTCGAAGAGATGGGAGATCACGTCATTGATTCATCTGCGGGTAAATGGACTGGAGTCTGCAAAGTTGAGTGGTTGATAAAGGTGAAGCTGTCAAGTGGCAAGTGATAGGCCACGCTTGTGTTGATTACCGACCAGTGTCGTCATGAGCGTGGCTGGTGTGCACCGGCGCCACTGTGGCGCCTCTTAAAGATGTTGAACAAAAGCTATTTTCAAGGAAGAATAAAGAGAGGGCAAATTTGGAAAAGTATATAAATAGAAACAGGAAAAGATAAAATAAATTATTGCCGTTTAATTTCAAGCTCTTTACAATTCTCATAGAATCTTTCTATGCAATAAGTTCAGTTTGTATTAATCTAGTACAAAGTAGATGTGGATTAGGGAAAAGAAAGCATCTATCAAATCTGTATAATTAAAAACAAAGTAAACAAAGTCGAGATTTTATCCATCACCCATCAATCATAGAAGTCTAGCACACACCCGTATTCTTGGAACAGTGCTCACAACTGGAGCAAGACGGAATCGTAGCCAGCGGCCAGTCGGGCCTCGCTGGCGGCGTGTCGACGCGCCGCGCCGCCTCTTCCTTCCGCAGCTCATGCGACGGCAGCCAGATATCGTCGGCGGCGACCGACGACGCCGAGCTGTACGCGCCGGGCGACCAAAACGACCTGGACCGCGAGTCCTCGGTCAGCGACGACCGGGCCGTCGAGGGCGGCACGCTCACGCCCCACGCGGCGGACCGGGACCGCCAGCACATCTCCGGGTAGTCGGGCAGCAGCCAGCGCTGGTCGCGGACCTTTTTCGCCCACGGCTGGGCGCCGCGGCCCTTGCTGCGCACCCACTCGGTGACGTGCAGCCGCTTGACGGCCCAGCTCGACAGCGGCAGCCAGGCCTGCAGCGAGCGCTTGGGCAGGCGCTGGCTCTGCTCGGCGAGCGGCCGCATGACCTCGTGGTACGAGCGGAGCGCGGCGCCGACCTCGCGCGGCCCGTGCACGGCCAGCTCCCCGGCGAGCACGTATGCGCCGATGAGCGCCATGCTGGACCCGACGCCGGCGATGGGGGATGCGCAGTACGCCGCGTCGCCGAGCAGCACCACGCGGCCGTGGGACCACGTGGTGCTGCGCCGCTGCAGCATCTCGTCGGCGTAAAAGTCCTCGGCGTCGGTGAGCGCGGCCAGGATGCGCTCCTCCTGCCAGCCCATGCCGGCAAAGACGGCGGCGAAGGCGTCCTTTTGGCTGGCAACGTCGCGGTCGAGCGCGCGCCGGAAGCGCTCCGTGTGGCTCATGGCCATGAGGTACACCTGGCCCGTGTCCTGGGCGTGCCAGCGCGTCATGGCCAGCCGCCGCTCCGTCGCGTGGTACATGCGGCAGAAGCTCGTGTCGTAGTCGCGCCGCGGGAGCGTGAAGTAGGCCGAAAAGACGCCCAGCCACCGCGACTGGTCCTCCTCGGGCCGGTAGAAGAACATGTGCTTGCGGATGCGCGAGCCCTGCCCATCGGCTGCAACGAGGAGGTCGTACTGCTCCTTGCTGCCGTCGGAGAGCGTCACCTCGACCTTGTCCGTCTTGGGGCCGTCCTCGCTGCTCTCGTCGCCCTTGATGTTTTGGTAGTGGTCGACGGAAAGGCCGAAGCGGTACGTGACGTTTTCTTTTGTTGCGTCGTGGAGAATCTCGATGAGATCGCGGCGCATAATCTCGTAGGCGCTCGTCTTTCCTTGCACGCCACTTTCCGTCTCGACTTCGAGTTTTCTCTGCACGATATTCTCCTCGCCCTTGGAGTCGACAATGATGGTGCCCATCTCGGGAACAGATCGTTTGCGGACAGTCGATAGCAGACCCATCCGACGCACCACTTCAATCGCCTCATTGCGCAGGTCGACTTGTAAACCAGCGACCCGGAGTGAGGGAAATCGCTCCACGAGGGTGACATCATGGCCCTCTTTTGCGAGCCAAAAGGCAATGGCCGGGCCTGCGACGCCGGCACCAGCAATTATGACTTTCATGGCGGCGTCTCCGTTCACGTTTGTGTGCAGTATCGGCGCTGGCTCGGAAGCTCACCGTGCCGTGACAAAGCAAAGGAAAAAGAGAAGCAATGTCTGGGATTCTGTCTCGTCAAAAAAGCATCCATGTAAACCCATCTTCTGTATTGCCATGAGAAGCCAGTGAGTACACTAATATATATCGAATCGCCCCGTGCTGTCAAAATCTATCAAGTTGACGGGGAGCGGCGTACTAGGAACAGACGGGGGTCCCATGACGGCCCGTCTCCGGATTTGCTAGAAAAATTAGAAATTTCCAACCTCATACGAGTTTCATCAGGTCATCGCAGGGTTCAGCGGCCTTCCCCACCGCAACAGCCTCGACGTCCTTTCAGCTCATGACTGTACCAGTATTTTGAAATGGCATGAGTTCGCGTGGAACCGGGTCCAGGCCCGCCTTGCTGCTGGTTTTTATCGCCGCTCAGGCCCGTTCCTGCTCCAGAAATTGCCGGTTGCTCCGCAGGTGCTTTACGGATTCCCTGGCTGGACCCCTGCTCACTCGCGTGGGTGATTCAACTGAGCAAGCACTTCCGAGCCCGACGGAATAGCTAGTTACTGGTAACTAATAGTTACTAATAAGGCAAAATTGGTGCAGAATCCAGTGAGACCCAAGATCACCCGTCATCCTTGCATCCAAGCCCCATCATGACAAGGCTGGTGTAGATGGAAGTCTTATTAATAAGAGTGATTGGGGCTACTATACAAACGTCGAGAAAGGTCGATGGGAGTTTATGAATAACATTCGGATTTCACCAGGTGCTGTCTTACATGATTGTCTACGTGAGACTCGGGGATGTACTCGGGGTTGTCGTGGCTGTGACAAATGTCACAGATGTCACAGGACTAACCAAGTACAGACAGTCCAATCATGGTTGCCATACGCCTTTTAGCGTCGTGGTAACGACATATGTCTCGCCAGCAGACACGAGATCTGGCCTTGAAAGTCAGCTGTTCCATCGTCATACAAGGTACTCTATAACTACACGAACCTTCATTTTGGGGGCCAGCCACCGGTACTGTGCTGCAGCCACCACCGTCGTCAATTAAAGCTCGCATCAACCATAATGTCGCCTGCAGCCCCTGCACTTGCCACAATCGGCATCCTCTCTATTGGGGACATGGGCCTCGGCATAGCCAAGCTGCTCCATGCCCACGGCTTTGCGGTGGCGACAAATTGTCACGGTCGAAGGTGAGCAACTCGGAAAGTCTGCCGAAAAGGGACCACTTCTGGGAACAAGGGTGTGCTTCCTAGTTCGCCGGCCGGATATATTTAGCCTTGCTTGATGGCCCCCGGGAGATTGGGAGCCACCTCCTGTGCAGAAACGTTGAGCCGTTGACTAAATGCCAAGGCTAACATGATTCAAGCCCCGATACCATCAAGAGAGCTGAAGCGGCTCTCGTGACCATGTATGCCACGGATGAGGAGCTCGTCGGTCATTGTGATGCCATTCTGTCTGTGGCGCCGCCTCGCGATGCCGCCGAGATTGCAGAGCGAATTGTCCGTGCTCTCTCGCCAGCCGCAAGAGCGGACAAGGAACCGCTCTACTTTGCTGACATGAATGCCGTCGCGCCCTCGACCGCCCGCGCCCTCGCCAGTCTCGTGGACTCGGCCGGCCCCCTGGTGCACTTCATCGACGGGTCCATCATCGGCGGGCCCCCGTCCGCGACGGCGGATGGCGCCGGCTGGAGCGCGCCAGTCATGTACACGTCAGGCCCGCACCGGTTCGAGGACGTGCCTCGCTGGGGCGCGCAGCTGACGTCGGCGCTTCGCATCCGCCACATGGGGGATGCGATTGGCGCCGCTAGCGGGCTGAAGATGTGCTTTGCGTCGCTGAGCAAGGGCTATACCGCCATCGCTCTCCAAGCGTACACGAGCGCGCAGTCCATGGGCGTGCTGGGGGAGCTGCAGACGGTGCTGGCCGAGATGGCGCCGCAGCGCGCGGCGGAGACGCAGAGGGGCCTCGTCTCCATGGCACCCAAGGCGTACCGGTGGGTGCGCGAGATGGAGGAAATTAGCAAGACGCATGCCGAAGAGGGCGGCTTCGGCCCCGAACTGTTTCTCGGAGCCGCCGCCGTGTACCGTGCCGTTGCTGAGGAGACGGTGCTGGGCCAGGAGACGATTGGGGAGAGAAGGAGAGGGACTACGGCAGAGGATATCGCTGTAGCAATGGTGGAGGGTCTAGAAGGTCGGAAGAGCCTGAAGAAGGATGACTGAAGGCGCCGTCTTTGAAATGATTTTTTTTAAAAATTTGAACGGCTTGTGCGTTGAGCTTCGGCGTGTTGCATGGCCCTGCCCCGTCACCTGTTATGACCCAGGTTTAGTTATGAAGTGTTGGTACTTTCTCGTTCCGGTCTCTCCGGCCAACTCGAATCTAAACTTTACAAGTCCGCTGTCATATAGCATTTCATGAGGCACGTATCTTTGTCGCACCGCCGAGTGTCTCGTAGCTAAGCGACTGGCGACGCATACAACCCCTGATAGGGGCAGCTGACTTGTGATAAGATGCTGAAATGACATATAATACTCCCCATCGAGTTCATTTCCATTCCCCACCAGTCGAGATGGAGACGAGGCTGCATTGCTAGTCTCGCAGCCCTACCAAATTGGTCACTTTACAGCCATCACACAATCACATGATTAACAGATCGATACCTGTGCGGAATTGTGTCCATTATTTGTCCTCACGACTGCCTCGACCCTGTCTCCGATAATGTGTTGCACTTCGCTCATCTTCTCTTCCGTCACAGCTCCGTATCATACTCTTCAAATAGATACGAGCTCATACCACAACCAGCTATATCTGTTGGGGAAATTGACAGATTAAAAGCCTCTCCCTTTTTGACCTCGCCGTTGGTTATAAAGTCGATGAAATCCCAGCCGAGTTCAACACCCCAGTCGCTTCCCGACAGCTTGTCAATGGCGATGAAGGATGACACTCTCTTCTCTTTCCCGTAGTATGCTGCCTGAAAACATTTCAGGCAATCGCTCGACGACGAGTCTTGGACGGAGTCGAGTGCCCCGACGTAGGCCGGAAGCCAGTTCTGATACTTCCATCCATGGCCAAAGTATCCAGCTTCCTCGTCGGGCTGTGGTGGCTTCCAGCAGGTAACTTGGCTTGAAATTCGAGAATCTTCGTCGAGAAGAGGACTGTAGGCTGCTTTTATGTGGTGATGCTCGAGCGAATAGGCGCGATCACGCCAGTCGGCCGAGGCGACAACACACAAGGCGAGCTGAATGATGGATTGAGAATAGACTCTCATGTTATGGGATGCGTATGTGTTGAGGTAGTTGTTGGGAATCAGAATGGGATGTGCGAGGAGCAAAATAAAAGACAAGTAGCGAGAGTGCTCTGCCAGTGTCGGAAGCCAAGAGCAGGCGCCCGCCGCCCGACTGGCAGGTGACCATTGCCCACCCCGCACTCGGAAGCCAGTCACCCAACAAATTACTCCCGAGTCTTGTGTAACTTTATTGAGTCAAATTCGAAAACATACGATTAGGCTGTGCGCCGTGAGCTGAGCCGGGAAGCAGGTCGCACGACAGGTTGGGCAAACTTTGCTGCAACAAGCAACCGTCGCTCGAAATGCACCAAATCTTCTGGAGACGCAACAAATTCTGATTTCTTAGACTATTTTCACTGTTGAAGAATCTTCTTCTCTAGACTCTCGAGCGCCCAAGTCTCCAACCCGGGTGTTCTCTTGCAGTCCAGAGTCGCGAATGCTTTTGACGGGCTAACAACCGGACGGGCTCCGAGACCACGGCTGCAGCAGCCGAGCATGAAAGAGTTTCTCCTGCATTCGGACTCAATATTGAGAAACGTAAAAATCAGGCTGCTCTGGAAAGACTGTGCATTATATTGAGTCCGCCTCTCGGTTGCTTTGCTTCCCTGTAGACGAACTGGCTGCAGGAGAGCAGTATAAAAGCTCTCCGATTTCCCCTGAGTACAGTCTCTCAAAAATTCATCAGAGGTGAACTTTTGAGTTTTATTACGTAGCCCGCGAAGCGCTAGAAAAAGCATGTAGCAGCAACAGTACGAGGCGGCAAAAACGTAGATCTTTCCTCGAAGAACCCCAATTCCGAACTTCCTCAACCATGCCGTGGTGCCTTCGTTAGGGATTTTGTACGTGGTAGCTATCCCTAGTCCAGGGTCACTGCCAGAAGAGATATATGTGACAACTTGGGCAAATAATATCCCGAGTTTCCAGGGAGATAGTATCGCACAGTGGGGAGGATGGTGCATGTCAAGGCGTGCTTTTCCAGGCAATCCGATAGGCCGTTTCAAAGCTACGAATATTCATTATTTTCAGTCGATTGTAATTGCAACTTCTTTGGTCAGTCGCAGCTGATTCTGGGTATTGATTGGAGTCTGTTCGTCCCACGGACAAATAGACCCATGCTCGTGCATGATGACGGTCCGTAGATGAAAATAATCAGGACAACATAGCACGATGAGTTGATTGCGCCGTCAAATAACTTGCAACCAAGTAGTCAATTGTACAAAGCACCCTATATAATTAATCAGTCCAGCTCAGCAGGCCCTTGTCCGTCAGCTTCAGCTCGTCGTCGACCTTTCTCCAGACGCGCAGTCTCGCATCCGGATCCTGGGCGTGCGGCATGTTCCTCGCCTCCCAGATGCGGTTGAAATAGCGGCCGCCGCCCTTGCCGCCCTTTTCGCCGACGCCCTGGGTCTGCGGGTCAGGCCCTGCGTCGACGCTCGTGGCGGCGTTGGTGATGCAGTACGAGCCCTGCTTGGTGCTGATGGCGAAGAGGCTGGCAAAGAACTGGAGCACGAAGCTGAGGGCGACGCTGACCCAGCCGAGGAAGCCCTCGCCGGCCTTGAAGGACCAGATGCCGCTGTTGACGTAGCCCGGGTGGACGCCGTTGATGGTGACGTGGCGGTACTTGTCGGTGCGCAGCAGGCGCGTGTGCATCTCGGTCAGCCAGCACTGGAAGTAGAGCTTGTTGTTGTTGTACATTTGCACGCCGTGGCAGCCCTCGCCGTTGAAGTTGGCGAGGTCGTACACGCCAATGTACGTCATGCACGACGTGGTGCAGACGACGCGCGGCGCCGGCGCCCGGGCGAGCGCCGGCAGCAGCCGCAGCGTCAGCAGCACGTGCGAGAGAAAGTTGACCTGGTGCACGAGCTCGAAGCCGTCGACGCTGCGCACGTGCCGGGCCAGGCCGCCCGGGTTGGTGCCCATGCCGGCGTTGTTGCAGAGCACGTCGAGCGCGCGGCCGGTCGCGAGCCAGCGCGCGGCAAAGGCGTCGACGGTCGCCAGGTCGCCCATGTCAATCGGCCACCACTCGACCGAGCTCTTGTCGTGGCCGGCCGCGCGCGCCACGGCCGTGCAGTGGTCCGCGACGGCGCCCGGGTGCTTCTCGGCCGGGCTGACGCGGCAGGCCAGCACGAGGTTGGCGCCGCACCGCGCAAAGTCGAGCGCCGCCTGCTCGCCGATGCCGCTGTTGGCGCCCGAGATGACGATCCACTTGCCGCGCAGGTCCGTCGGCGGCACGTCGGCGTCCGTCACCGTCTTGCTCGTGGTGCCCTCCCAGAAGCACTTGTAGCGGCGCCAGAGCCAGGTCGGCTCGGGGAAGGAGAGGGGCGCATCGTAGGGGACGTTTTGGTACGGTGAGGGTGCCATGGTGATGGCTGTACGAGGTCGGCGGGGTGTGTAGAGAGAGAAAAGGGGTGAGGGAAAGGGTTGAGGTGGTACGTCGTCGACCTTGCTTTATCAAGGACGGATCTCGGGTAAACTTTGTGACACGGCCCGGCATCGCCGCCCAGTCGGGGTCCGAGGAAGGGGCCACGGCATCCAGCCTCGGCCAGGAACAGCGGGGTAAAAAGGAGGCTTCTTACGTCAACATTATTTTCTGGCTTTTTCACATGGACACATGGACGCCCCGATAATCAAGGTACGAGTCGCGTTGCCACATTCGGCTGGCCTTGGGCGCCAGCGCTAGCTTGCCATGCCCGGCAGATTCCAGAGCACATGTACTGTAGAACAGATAAAAGAATTGTTGAGAAAAGGTACAGTTGCTTCTCAATATTCAGGATATTTATAGAAATCTAGATATCAGTACAACCCCCCCGTAGAGCCATACACATGCTCCCCTCGCTCCAGCACCTCAATCTCATCCCCAACACAAATCACCAGATTCACTCGCTTCTCCCGCGCCGCATTCAGATCCCTGTCTTCCGGCACGGCATGCATCCCTAGATACCCCAGCGCCGCCGCATTGCCATTCTCCACCATGCGATGCCGCACCAGCGCTGTCGTCGGCTGCGGACGGCCCTTGCTCCTGCCCTCGTCCGGGCGCTGCGCCGAGAACGTGCCGCGCGCCGGATCGACATTCGGCATGGTGCACCGCGACGTGCGGCAGACGACCGAGAGCGTCGTCGCCAGAGCGCCGGCGCCCTCCCCGCGCACGCGGCACCGAGTCCACGACTCCTCGTCGTAGGCGGCGGCGCCCGCGATCCACAGGTTGGCGCGGAAGCGCAGCGCGTTGAGCGGCCGGTTCTCGGCGGGCAGCAGGCGAGACACGGCCTGCACCGACGCCACGCTGTTGATGTTGACGGGCTGCTGGTCCGTGTAGCCGTGCACCGCGCGCGAGCCGATGCGCGACAGCGGCGCGAGGTTCTTGTCGGTGCGCGTGAGCGTCTCGGGCGTGCAGCGCAGCAGCGTCAGCGTGCGCCGCTCATGGTAGCCGAGCAGCCGCTTCAGCTTGGGCAGGGCGGCGGCCACGGCCCCGACGCGTCCCATGTCAATGCCGTGCGCCTCGCGCGCGTGAATCGTAAACGGCCGCGGCGTCAGCTCCGACGCGCTCAGGTACCGGAGCGTCGGCGTCAGCGGGACGTTCAAGGTACACTGCGGCGTCGCGTTCCAGCGCCCCTGCTCGAGACAGGCTTGTAGACGCCGGACGAGCCCGGCCGGCTCAGGGTCGGGAAATGTGACGCGCACGGCACCGCCGGCGTGCACCAGCGCGTCGTTCTGCGTGCTGCTGCTGCTCGTCTCGCGCGGCAGCCACAGCTCGGTGCTGATGAGGGCCATTTGCGGCTTGGTGCGCTGGCTGATAAAGTGCAGCGTGCGCGTGTCGTCGGAGCGCTTCTCGTCCGCGGCGTCGACGGCAAAGGAGAAGCAGCGGTCGTGGAGGAGCCCGGCTTTGGTCACGACGGCCCGGTCCAGCTCGACGGGGCCGCATGATTTGATCGGGTGTATAAAAATGGCCTTGATGCGCACTGGTCCGGTAGTTGGTGTTCCTTCGGATGCCGCGTACTTTTCATCGTACTGGTCCTGCATATTCTTCTTGGAGGCCGTGACCCGGCGCAGATGCCGTAGTTGACGCCGCGTCGTGAAGCCCGGAGCGGTCCATAGCAAACCAACGATGAGGGAAGCCAATGATAAGACGAGTGCAAGGGCAGCATACGCAATGCTGTCTGCCGTCAAGGCAGTGCGGGCTCGCTGCAGCACGTACACCAGCATCTTGTCTCGAAAAACACTTGTATGGAGATGCGTAGAATGCGCTAGGGTAGCTTGAACAAAGCGAAAAGGAGTCCTCTTGGCGGGCCTTCGATGTGGAGCGTAATTTGTACAAATCACTGGTAACTGACTCAAGTTCCTGGAAGAAGATACCCATTGAAACATCGATTTTAACCGTGTCACTGCCAAGCTAGGCGGGGAGCATCAACGCGCCCCGAGGCGGGGTGTTCCGATATTCTTCGAGGTGGCTGCATTCGGATTCATTTTACGCCGTCCTCAGCCTGTTCGTGCTGAATGTTGCATGGACGGCTTTTCGCAGTAAGAAGGCAGGCATACTAACTTGGTACGTACCTAGTTAGTTAGTTGCTGTCTAGTTCAACGGCGTGCCTACAACATCAACATGGTGGCATTCGGCACCTGCCAAGTCCCGCATCTTCCCATATCGTGAAAACTAGGGTCGATACTTTCTTCACTCTGGTATTAAGGAGGATACCCAAAGAAGCAGGAACAAATCGTGATTGACCTAGACCAAAGCGGCAGCACGACCTCATATCATAACCCTAACCCTACCCTACCCGTATCGAACCGACCCTGCACCCTCCCTGAACCAGTCGTCGTCCGCCAGCGACTCCTCCGTCGATGCATAGTTGATAATGGTGCTCTTGGTCATCGTGTATGCCCGGTACGCGTCGACGCCGTTCTCGCTACCGACGCCGCTCGCCGGCGTCAGCCCGCCCCACGGGCTGCTCGGGTCGTTGCGGTGGTGCGTGTTGACCCAGACGATGCCGGCGCGGACCTGCTCGGCGACGCGAAACGCCTGCGCGAGGTCCGTCGTCCAGAGCCCCGCGCCGAGGCCGTACGCGCCGTCGTTGGCCAGCGCCAGCGCCTGCGCCTCGGTGTCGAAGCCCGCCAGCACGACGACGGGCCCAAACGCCTCCTCGTGCCACAGCCGCGTGCGAATGACGGGGTGCCCAGCGTGCTGCTGCTGCTGCCAGATGGGCGGCTGCGGGTCGGCGACGGAGCCGAGGTCCAGGATCGTCGGCGGGTAAAAGTGCCCCCGCGACAGGTCGCTGCCGTCGAGCGCCGACGCGCCCGTCATCCGCCGCCCGCCGTGCACCAGACGGGCGCCGTCCGCGAGCGCCGACTGCACCAGCTCCTCAATCACCTGCAGTTGCGCGCCCGAGATGACGGGGCCCATGGTCGACGCCGGGTTCGACGGCGACCCCATGCGCGCCTCGATCGACCGCGCCTTGGCCGCGAGCTTGCGCCGCACCTCGTCCAGTATGCTGCTGTGCACCAGGATCCGCGTCGAGGCCACGCACGTCTGCCCGCTGGCGACAAACGAGCCAAACGCGATGCCGTTGACGGCCGCGTCCACAGCCGCGGCCGCAAACACGAGCAGCGGCGCCTTTCCGCCGAGCTCGGCCGTGTAGCGCGCGAGGTTGGCGCCGACGACGGCGCCGATGGCGCGTCCCGCCGGCGTGCCACCCGTCACGTCGACCTTGCGCACGAGCGCGTGGCCGACGAGCGCGCGGCCGACGGTCGCGCCGAGCCCGGGCAGGACGGCGAAGACGCCGGGGGGCACGCCGGCGGCGGCCAGGACGGGGCCGAGCAGCAGGCTGGTGACGGGGGTGCGCTCGCTGGGCTTGAGCAGGACCGAGTTGCCGGCGGCGAGGGCGGGCGCGAGCTTCTTGACGGCGATGAGCAGCGGGTGGTTAAAGGGCGTGACGAGGACGACGACGCCGAGCGGCACGCGGTCGACCCAGTTGTGCAGCGCGCCGCCCGTCGTCGGCAGCACCGCGCGCTCCTCGGTCCGCAGCAGCGCCGCGTAGTACCGGAACCAGCGCACGAGCGTCGGCACCTGCGCGCGCATCTCGCGGATCGCGCGGCCCGTCTGCCGGACTTCCAGCGCGATCAGCACGTCGAGGCGCGCGGCGAGCAGCGTCGCCGCCTTGTCCAGCACGTCGGCCCGGTGCTGGCGCGGGGCGCGCGACCAGTCGCCGTCGAGAAACCGGGCGTGGGCGGTTTCGACGGCCTTGGCTACGTCCTCCTCGGAGGCTGTGTGGACTCTGTCTGCGTGAGCTTTGATGCTGGCCGGCTTTCTGGAGCGGCTTTGGCGGCATCGACTCACTGTGCGATTTGCTCGCCGGTGGCGGGGTCGTGGACCGGGAGTCTGGTGATGTTAGTGACATGCGCGGCCGAGGGACGGATTCTACTTGCATGTCGCCGTTCCCAGGCATCAGCGAGCCATGCCACAGCGGGTATGGCTTGTTTGCCTTGACAATGTCATCGTAGTCGTCTAAAGACATTTCCGTGACGCTTCCAAAAGAGGTTGGTTGTTGGTAGATGTTAGAGCCGGCTTGAGGCGGCTGAGCTCATGCGGGGTACATTAAAGGGTACTGTGTAGCATGATCTATAAGTGCGACCCCGGATTATATCCGCTCCTAATCAGCTAATCGGCTCGATAAGAAAAGAAAGCCAAAGCGAAGAGGAGCGTCTAAGAATTGGATATATCCATGGCGCTGCTGCTAAGACATTGCTCATGTAGAGTCGACGCCCAGCAGGTTCTTGAGGATCGGCAGAGCGCTAAATGATAAACGAGGACATTTGACATGCCAATAGGCAGGCTATAAATAACCGACGAAGATTCAATAATTTCACGCCCACAACTCTCCTATATAAAATTAAAACCCTCTAATCACATCCTCCCAATTTCTCCATGTCCACCGCCATCCCAAAGGCCCCCTTCGCCCGCGCCCCGACTTGGACCAGCCAACGCAGTATCGTCAGACTAGACGTTCTATTAGTCAAGATCTATGTTTCCAAAGTCCTTGAGCAGCGACTCGAGCTGCATATTGTCTTGTTTTGATCCGTAGTCGATGCCGACGCCATCCGGCAGCAAGCCCGCCACGGTGTGGTGCATCACCCCGTCCCGTCGATGACGCACCCTGGAAAAGTATTTGGTCATGAACGCGGGCATCGTGAGCCGGTAGCGGTTGAACGCGGCGCGGATGCCGCTGAGCACGTCGGCGGCCACCGGCAGCGTCGTGCGCATCTCGTACAGGCACTGGCACGCGCGCACCATCGAGTCCAGCTGCACCGGCGCGTCCGACTCTTGCAGCATGATGTAGGCGGCGCTCCCGAGCGGGTGCACGAGGTAGTACTCGTACCGGATCTGGCCGTACGCGCGGAAAGTCCAGATGGTCGAGACGACGTGGCTCGCATGCGCCGCGCATCGGTCTCGCGGACTGAACCGGCCAAAGTACTCCTTGGTCATGTGCGCAAAGGGCCGCAGGATGGCAATGTACATGACCTCCAGGGAAATACTGGCAAGTTTCAACGAAAAGTGTGGGCAGGGAAAAGGCGCTCAACTTACTGCAAGAGAATCGCAGACGGCAGAACAGTATGCTCGAGTCTCAGCTCGTCGGGAAGTTGGCGTTTCCACCCCATCAAAGCGTCGTAGAACTGCAGTGCACGGCTGGGTGTAGCCACTGGGCTAGTCTCATCCTCTGAAGGGTGTAGATAGTCCAATATCTCCTCTACAATCTCCGCGAGCGCAACATCCGCCTCTCTCACAGTGGCCTGCATCGCTGGCTGCGCTTGGAGGCTGATTGGGTACGGATACCACCAATATCCCGGGCAATTGGCTTGGCCGAGGGGAAAGTCGTTCTCGCGCCATAATTTACCAATCCTTGGCCTCTGAGTCTGCTTTTTCCAGCCAAGCGGCTCGCTGGATCGCCTAAATGCGTCAATTGACAAGTAGAAGCGTGTAAGGAAACGTCGGCTCACCATTCATAACAATACAGCCCCCACATGCACCAAGACGTCGCTTCCTTTTCCCGGCGCAGTCGAGAGTCATATACCACCCCAGCTGTCTCATAGTTGGTACTCTCGTTGAAAATGTTGTACATTGCCATGCATCGGATAAAGAACTCGAGGGATTTGGAGCCATTGCCCAAGTTTGCCTCATACACAAAGAGTGCATAGAGGCCCTGCATAACCGTCACGGATGGCTCAGAACAGCTTTGCAGAAGAAGCTCTGCCTCCTCCGCCCATAGCCTCCCTCTGGTTGTGGGATCTTCAGGGTCTTTGTAGGTTCTAGGGTCCATTGAGTAGAGCTGAACGCGTTAGATGATGAAGTTGGAGGATGAGGGTGACTTACGCAGCCGAGGGCTAGCAGCGAATTGACAAGGAAGCGAGAGCAAAAGTTGGTGCCATTGTTTCCCTGGTTTCCATCCTTGTCAACGTCAGCAAGCCCGCTTCTCGCTGTATTTCTAACGTCTTCTTCAAAGACGGGCCGAAATATGACGCGCTCCACGATATTGTCCCAGGTGAAGAACAAGTTTAGTAAATGGTTCATGTGATGATCATCAGTGGATACGCTTGTCCAGCTGGACAATGGCAAATGTTGACCCGGTACATCTACAAAGACATTTTTGTCTCCCTGCAGGTAGCGGGAATCAGAGTCGTAGCACGTCTCAAAGATGAAGTCGCAGTTGTCAAACCTAAGACAATGTCAGTCGCAACGGGGCAGTATCAGGACACAACACAACCTACGGCGAGTTCAACAATGGGCGGGGGGCAGCAGGAGCATATCGTCGAGCCGGACGAGATGTGATTGTCGCCGCAGAAGCCGGTAGCAGAATGCTTGCATCAGCTAAACTGCCAATGGTGGTGTCGACGTTGTCGGCGTCTCTGATGCGCCGCGCAATTTCTTCCGCGTTGGCGCCGTCGGAGCGGCGTATCAGGTCCACGACGCTGGCAAAGTTTTCGGTACGCTCTTTTCGAATCTGCTGCGGCGTGACGCCGGGCGGCGCCGTGTAGATGCAAGCCCAATTCCTCCTCGCGCATTGGCGACACTGCGGTCGGTTTCCATCACACTATGCCCCTTTCCATCAGTGTCTGTTCTCTGGTCTCTGGAAGACGATGTCGACGAGCTCCTCAGCTAACTACTCGCATGCCGAGGTATACTGGCTCTTACCTTGGTTTTTCGCGTCCTACAGCCTGACGTCTCGGCGTGAATGGGGAGTGGCAATCTCGAGCATGGGGTTACGTACTGTTGCAAGCATTGCTGACTGGCTGACGCCGGCGGGGTAATGGCGCAGGCGGCTGTCGGTCTGGGTCATTGGCAGGCTTGGGAAGCAGCCGTGGAAGTGAGCCGCGGGCAGGAGACATGTTGTGCGAAGCGTTGAGAGGGCAAGCTATCCGTGTTGTAGGCGGTGTGTGGTTGAAAGCCTACTTATACAAGACGAAGATGAAGACACAGAGAAGACACAGACGAAGACACAGACGAAGTGTTACGTAAATTGTCACTTTTCACATTACAAGAAAAAGACAGGGAGCTTTGATCCGGCGCAGATCAGCCACAACTTTGGAGGTGCTGAACCCGACCAGGGAGCCTGGCAGGGCCAATGGGGGGACTCGGAGCGAGGTCCGGACAGTAAAGTCTGCAACCCGCCGCAGTTGATCTTTGTCTTGCCTGTACTCCGTACAAGGAAGAATATAGAACCGACAACGAGTGTCGGTAGCGACATGACAGATACAAGATGGACAACGCCGTGCGCTGCAAAGTTCTGATGGCTGCAGGTGGCGAATGTCGGTGTCGGTGGCATCAGCATCAGCAACCAAATTTGGGATCGAGGCTGCGGAGGTTTGAGAGGGAGGGGGAAATCAGGCTCATCAAATAAGACATTCTCATTGACCCGAATACGAGTCCCTTGTACAGATCGACAGGGGGGAGTCAAGGTGCGAGCTACTCTAACTATTGTCTGTAGTTGGTCCTGCCTCTCTGATGTGTATGAAAAGGCTCGGCATTGCTCCGTACTCGGTACATACTTTGTACTCACCGCTATGCACAAAACCTAACACCATCTGTCACCAACATGCTAACATGGCTCTTCTTGTATGCGGAACCTTTCCGCAGCTGTCCTCAGACACAGGCCGGCAACGAACTTGCCGAATGCATCTATTCCTCACTTGGCTGTGTGAACGCTAACTCGGAATAATCAAGGGGGTTTGTGTACAAATTATTAGCACGTCGGATACTACCTTGGCGATCAACCGCCAGGATAGACGTGGCGCAGCGTCGAGTCTAGGCAGCTCGCCGCTGGCGGGCAGAGCTGATGTCTTTGGGCGCATCGCAATGACAAGAAGAGGTATTTCCAGCTTCCAGCCGCAACGCGATCCAACTATGAGGAACAATTTCTTTTGTGGGAATGCCAATATTCCATGTTGTGTAGAATGCAGAATTCCACCGCCACTCACTCACGTACTATCCCGCTGGCGGTCGGCGCTGTGGAGCCTAACTCAGGCCGACTTGTGGAGCATCAATGTGGTTACATAAGATGGCAGCGCAGCTAATACAGCTTATAGAGGAATAATAGAAAGCGAAGATAATAAGGAAAATCAGCCTTATATTAGATAAAGCTATAAGGGATAACTAGTTAATTTATATATCCTATTTCCTAGCCTTAGGCTATGTAATTTAAGTTATAAAATAACGCTATATCTTAGGATACCTAAGGTTATTACTTATCTACGCTTATCGTTGGTATAGATAAGATAAGCTCTCTTATTAAGGCAGTACTCTATGCGATAGTAGAGTATTAATATGGTTATATAAGATAGCAGCATAGCTAATATAGCTTATAGAGGAATAATAGAAAGTAAAGATAATAAGGAAAATTAGCCTTATATTAGATAAAGCTATAAGGGATAACTAATTAATTTATATATCCTATTTCCTAGCCTTAGGCTATATAATTTAAGTTATAAAATAATACTATATCTTAAGATATTTAAGGTTATTATTTATCTATACTTATTATTAATATAGATAAGATAAGCTCTCTTATTAAGGTAGTACTTTATATAATATACCTTTTAATTATTAAGTATAAGTTAGTATAGAATAAAGGAAATAATTATATATAAAGAGTATAGTAAAAAGTAGCTATTTATATAAAAGGGTACTTTATAGAGAGAATAGAATAGTATATTTATACTTTTCTTTATTTTCTATAAAGAGTATACTAATATACTACTTAAGTATATATTTTATAATATAAGTAGTAGTTTAATATAGGAATAGATAAATAATAGAACTATTACTCTTTTTAATAAGTAATTTAAAGTACTTTTTACTTTAACTAATAAGCTAGCTAGTATTTTTAAATATAAAAAGCTACTCTTTACTATATATTATTCCTATATTCTTTATTATTTATTTACTTCTTTCTAGCTACCTACTTTCTTACTTATTAAAAGTAATAATAATTCTTTATTACCTTTTTATTCTTTTTCTTTTATT